GTGCCATTCTTACCATCCACACATTGTAACCTAGCCCTCCTGGAATGGCAGCAGGGGAAGGCCATTTTAAGAAGTGATGGATTCCTTTCTTGGTTCCTCCCATTAAAATCCAGTTTTTGAATGACTGATGAGTGCGGGTTAGCACACAATTAGCCACTGTGGCTAATCTATCACATTTATTATAAGATTCATATGCTGTCGATTGGCACAGTGATGTATGCCCAGTTACGGTAAACCAAATCAAAGGGGAGTTGTAATAATCTGTACCATAACTCACCTTCATAATGGCTTTCTAAATAACATTGGTTTTAAAACTATTCTGAAATGATTGGGAAGTAGCTGAAGGCCCTCAGAGCATGTTAAATTTCGAATCCTCATTTGACTCTGCATAGTCGGCGTCACATGTGCCAACACCAATGCAATACCAGAAGGACTCAGTGATTACTAAGAACATCTTAAGCCTGGGAATTGATTAAAACCACAGAAAAAAAAGGTTTAAGTTTAGGCACACGGGTGTTTGCTTGTTTGTGTACCTAAATGTGTGCATATTTGAGACGGATAACTTAGTTGCGGCCACATAAGTTTGTGGGAGCTGTTCTGTTTGCAAACTGAAGCCTTCCTGAGCCTCTCACACAGTCGAACTCTTTATTTCACACAACCTGTCTCATTTTCTTTTATCATGCTTTATTGACATTTTATTCACATTCTTTCCTGTACAACCCCACTGTATACTTTTCTTCATGTTTCACTCTAGCTCTATTTCTCTTTGTCTGCCTTCTCATTTTTCACAGTTGTTCCTCCTCTCCATTTTCTCAGCTTTTCTCACAGTCGCAGTAGAGTGGTATTGACCAAGTATGAACTCTCAACCTCTGCCTATTACCAATCTGCTAACAAGGCAATACGCCGCCTTCCCACACCTGGTGAGTATGTTGTTCAAAAATGTTTTACAGGAACAAGACATGATGCTCCACAAACAGGAAGACATTTATGGCTTTTGTGTTACACCGCATGATTTGTTGTCACAATATCAACCATCAACAAACACATATGTTGAAATATTTGCAAATTAGTTTAACATGCAGCAATTCTGTGTAATCTCCATTTTGTGTAAATCAAAATTCAGTTAGATATTTTTCCAAATCTCTGTTCGTCTTGTCAATGTATTGATGCTTCAGTATTGATCTGATTTCATCTCTAAACCAACTTGACTTTGCAAATGTGATTGCATTAAGCAACACTGTTGCTATTTTACCAGCAAGTTATTATTTTTCTAATTTTTCAATCATCCAGAGTCAGAATAAAAGAAGTGTTCTGTCTCATAAAAACATTTATACGCTTACATGAATAAAGCCAAAAAACTTCACCACATGCTCATGGACTCACAAAAACATACACAAGGAACATTTTCACAGGAAATGATGGAAAAAGGACAAACATAAATTTTGTATTCTCCTTTGTATTTTACAAAGGTAACATTGTCAGGCACAGAAGAATATTCGGCATAAAAAACACTACTGCAGAGGGTTACAGACTCAGCTGGACCAGCTCTGTTCATTTGCTTTGCAGAGAAATGTACATGGCTTCTTTTCACATTTGTCCACCCGGCTGACTGCAGTCTCAAAAAATTTGAAATTAGAGAAAGAAGAAATTATTCAGCCCGATTGTTGTTTCCTGGAACATGTATGTGTGTTGTGTAAACAACTTCATTAACCAATAAATAAACGTAAACTGTATGCATGTTACATAAATGCTAAGTATTATCAACTGACCTCTGTAACAGTATGTGTATTTCTATGTACACAGCATGGTACATGTTTGTGTACTTACTCAACAAATATAGTCCTAGAGTCGAGAAGGGTAAGAGTTGGTGGTTGTAGGGGTCCGGGAGGAAGCTGAGAGGTCAGAGCAGTGGCTCGTGAACTGTTTGTACAACCCACTGAGGTGCATGCACTCAGTACCAACAAGTGGGTGGAGTACACATCAAGACCTGAAACAAAAACACATGCAACATTATGCAATCGTCTCGAAGCTCCTCTCATCTCATCATATAATTGATTAAAAATAGGGAAATTAATGCAAAAATGATTGAAACATATAAAGAAATCTTCTGGTCCAGTGAAACAGCTTCTTCAAACAATTCTAACAACCTAACTTTTGTTTCATCTAGTTGATCTCAAAAATGCTTTAACAATGTTGAAATCTGTGCTCTAATGAGGAGTCAGAGCACAGTTTCAGAGCACAGACCTGTTGCCACCGATTTTGAATCCAGTTCTTGTGCAATTTGGCATACTTCAGTCTTTTCTCCTAGTTCCCCTTCTCTGGGGTGGCCTCTTGAAAATAACTCTTTCAACATCAGTAAGTTGGTACAAAAACAGAATTCTATCTATTTTATTTACTATTATTATTACTATTATTATTACTAGTATTAGTAGTAGTATTGTTATTGTTGTTATATTTATCTAATTTTATAATTGTTATCTTATACATCTTTTTATAGCAACAACTAAAGCATTGGGGGCACATGATGTGGATCCACAAAAGCAAATAAATAAACAATTTAAGAAGGGAATAAAATAAACAAATTAAACTACACTTTGAATTGATTCAAACTAAACTAACTCTTTGAGTTAGGAGGCTTTAAAAGTAAAACAGAAAAACATTAAAACAGGCAGATACAAGGACTTAAAGAAGTGAAAAGACATTACTTTTCAAAGAAAAACCTTCCAGGAAACAGCTCACCAGCTTATATAATTGAAATTGTTTAAATACACTGTCTTTTTGTCTTTTTTCCACAACATTGTATACAAAAGGTTGCCAAAAAGACCACAAAAAACATGATCTGCTGAAGTACCTGACCAAAGAAATTAAACTATTAATTTTTAGAAATGTTCCAGTGTCCATCCCTCTACTCTGGATGGTTGTTTCTCTTTCTGTGTATACAGTATCTCTGTTTTAATCTGCCCCACTGTTGCGGTCTTCCTTTCTGCGACACCATCTATTCTTCCACATATCCTATAATTACTGTGTCCATAATCCTTCCAATCACTGTGAACATCAGACACTCTGTATTATTAACCCAGCATGGATGATATGTGCTCTTATGCCTTCATTAACTTACAAAGACGCACACATCTCTTCTGCTCATATAAAATGCCATATTGGATGACTCCCCAACATATGAGCTTGCATGTGTGTTACATAGTATGGGTTTGTGCATTTTGCTTTGAGTTTGTCTTGTTCTGTAGTGTGCTTCTGTGTGTGTGCGTGTGTGTGCGCGCATGCGTGCGTGTGTGTGTGTGTATCCATTAGTATCTAGTGCCACACTCTTGTCTCAGTGGTGCGACATGTGTTTCATACCTTCTTTGGGTCTCGTCAGTGAAAACTTTCAAAGCAAATTGTGCGTATGCATGAGCACTAATGTTTAGCTTTCTTTGTTTCGCTGCTGTTTCATTTTCATGTGTGTGTGTTTTGCCTTCTTTTTCAAAGTGCTATTCCCTTGGTAGGGAGTGAGACACTCTTTACTCTTTCAAATGCTAATCCCCCATCTCCATTTTGCTTTTCTCCACTTTTTCCCTTTCTTTTCACCGAGGCCCCATTTCTCCACAGTCTCAGCTACACTGCAGCACATACACACAAATGCTCTTTTCTCCTTACCAGTGATGTTATGTTGTTGGCTTTTCCCTCTGTAGACCATTCGGTTATTGTGATACAGGAGGTACTCTGTAATGCCCCCATTTGGCCTATGATTGGAACAAAGAGTGAAATGAGGGTAGTATTGTGACATTATTTGCTACTAACACTATTTCAACTATGCTGATGATATTCAGAGCGTGTATATTCAAGGCAAAAAAAAAGAATGAGATCACAAAGGACAGAGAAGTTCATGAGAGAAAACTGAGTTGGTTTTCACCAATTAGCACCATAATAAACTATTCACGTGAAGATGTGGTTTTAATACGACAACAAAGATAAGATGGTTAGTACTGCTTTACCTTGCTGGAGGTCCCCAGGTGACAGAGAGAGACGAGGGGGAAGAGACAACAGATGGAGTGGAGACGGCATCGGGAACTGAAATATCAGGAAAATACTAAAGTCTATATTCACGTCAGCTTCAGTGGTTCGCACAAGGAAATGGAAGCAGGGGATGAGAAATGATTCGAGAAATGATTCGTGATATGATAAGTACACTAAAAATCCTTTGCATGGTAAAATATAAAGTTAAGTTGAGCTATGATTTCATTTAATGAGACAAAAATTAGAATTCATTTAGCCATCCCACAAGAAAAACTGAAGAGTGGCTTTGTTTCAGATTGAGCTGTAATCACAAAAACTTCATTCTTCGTTTGAAAAGATTTTCAATTATTCAACTCTGGAGAATGGCAAAGAGCCTAGATCCACTTGAGTCCAGTTGGGCACAACATAACTGGCTAGTTGTGTTTGCTTGACACCATACAATTTTGGGCAGATGAGGTTTTAAAAAAATAACACACTAATGAACTTTCTATGGTATTACTTTAGATAGTGTTTTTTTTTCTTTTTTTTACAGTATGCTTACTGATCCTCTTCCATGTGTAAAAGTGCGTCTACATGGCATACAGTTGTGGCAAGAGAGTTTTGTATTTTTGGAGTCTCACGAACATGCTTCAGTGTCTTAACTCTGTGCTCAGTGAGAATCAATACAGTAATCTGTTTTTTCCCCTTTTACTACAGATTGATTTTTGCGTCTCTGTACTGACCCCTGCCGTCACATTATCTCCCCAACAAGCTGGTTCGCCCAACACTGATTAATGTACTGACTAACACATGAAGAAAAATCTTTCTTTTTCACTCCATGTTCTTCTGAGCTTATACTGTGCCCTTCATGACTTCACTGATAAGAAATACCCTTCTCTGTGCTGTCAGCCTGTCATTTATTTGGAATGCTCTTCACTCTTTTACCACATCTGGTTTTTTCACTTTGTAGGTAATTTACTTATTTTCACCCTCCCTACTGCTGTTTTTTTTATTCCAGCTTGTTCTCCTTTTTTCTCCCGCTTCCTTACTTTTTGCCTGTAAAAATCTGAAAATGTTGCTTAGGAGACAAGTATGTTATTGTGATTCTAACAGTTTGTGTCATCATAAAGTAATACAGCTGGTTAGGAGAGAGAAGGATAAATTTCTGTTGTGCGTGTGAGTGTGTGTGAGTTACCTTCCTCTGGGGTTGTGAGGCTGGATCTCAAATTATTATCACCCCTGTCATTAATTAGACTCTCAGCGCAGCCTGCCGGACTACAAGCACTCACAGTGACAATGTATTGGGTGGATGGAGTGAGACCCGTCACCACACCTGTGAGGAGTAGGAACATGCCAGAGCGGAGGTGAGCGCAGCTCAGGAGCGTTCAGTGAAAGCTCATTTTTGAGTGGAGAAAATACCACGTTGATATGTTTTCAGCTGCATGTGAAAACACAAATTCATCACAAAATGACTTCCTTTCAGTCAATTGTCAAATTAAATAAATATTATTAAATATAAACCATCAATCAAGATCATAACTGGTCAAGAAAATCCTTTTGGGAATTTTTTCTTCATTACATTCAGACTTTGGGATTAAAATAAAGAAATCAAAGTGTGATCATGAGTGGATTATTACCTTTAAATCAAGATACAAAATGTTTATGTTTTGTGTTTGCATCCATTTCTTACATAATCCTTCCTATGTGGTAGGTTTGTTTCTTTTTTAATCAAGACATATTTAGAATCTACAGGCCAGAATCTAAATTCTAAGAGGTGTTGCTGTAAGAAAAAAAACAAAAACAAATATTTTGCCAAACCAGTAGATTTGAACGGTCAATTAGATTCAATCATAAACATTCTTTTGGGAAGATAAAACACCTTCACAGCATCATCAATTCAAGACAAATCTCATGGGAAACTGAGCAAATCACTGACAAAGTCCCCAGTCAAGAAATAACCCCATGACTGCATGGGCAGTTAACACACACTCCCTAAAAACATAGTTAGTTTATGGTAAAACACTAACAACTAGCATAGTGGGGACAATATTGAGAGGGAAAACAGAAGGAAGCATTTCAAGTGACAAAAAAGTTCTGTTCTTTGGAAGTTATTGCTTTATAAGCATTCAGCCTGCACAAGTGACAAAACGCCCTTTGTCAAATATTGTGAGTAGGACTTCAGGACACAGAAATATTATACATGAATCACATGACTTCAACACAGCTGTTGAATCTACGCTATATGGGAAACTCTCAAGGAGTAAGTCATAACATATGGTTTAAAGAAAATTGTGATGGCTAAACATTGTGGTTTCAAAACAGCACCCAAACCAAAAGGTGACACCATAGTTCACCATGTATTCAGACTTGTAAGATACTTAAAACAAATGGCTTTCAAAATATGGAAGAATATGCTTAAATGTAACATTCTAATTCATTTCAGTGTGTGTTTGGTGTGTTATGGAACTTAACATTTACCATGGCTCAATCTTACAATTTGAAAGCTTTTCCTGTTTGTATGAGCTTATGTTGCTAGGCAAATTTACAGTGTTTGGCAAACAGAGGCAGTCTACTCTAATTGTAAAGCTTCAGTCGTCTCTGTTTTTTATTTTTTGTCCTAGCCGCCTCGGACTCCTTCACTCTTTTTTGCATTTCCAAAGTCACTCTTTCTCATCCCTCTTCTCTGTTTCACCCTCTGTCCCTTCCTCTCCCCATTTTCTATGTCCAATCACCGCATGTCTGTCTTCCTTTTTCAACGTTACCTATGTCTCTTAATTCAATTAGGGGCCAGGGCCCCACTCCACTGCCATTACACCCTCATTTGCTTTTGGTGTTTTTTTTGCCATTGGTGTAATACTGTAGTCAGGTGTGGAGGCCATCATAAATTAAGAAGAAACCTTATCATGGAGGACTTAATGCTTGGCAAGAGGAGGTGGGGGGAATGAAGAGCAGGAAAAAGGCACCGTGAAAGACAGAGACAGCAAGCTCATCTTCATATTTGCCTAGAGACATGGCAGAGTGGATGAGAGAGGGGGCGAATAGCAGCAGCGGACACAGACATCATCCTCATCATAAAAGATGAAGTGAGGAAAGATCGAAAAGTGAGCAACAGAAAGAGAGAGGGGGAAAAGGAGTGATGCCAGCGTATGACATCATTGGGGTAGTCCTGAGTGTCTTGTTCCAAATGGAGACATTCTCCTAAGGCGGGGGAATTGCCAAGGAGACATTAACTGGGTAGTTTGAGACAATGTGCATGCATGTGTGTTTGTTTAAAGGACTTAAAGAAAGGTAAACAAGTTCAAATTGTCACCATATTAAACTCAAAATATCCAAGGTGAAAAGTTCTGTTTTTTATGCCCAATCATGTTACTGATTAGAGCAGCTTTTAGAGGCAGAGTCTCAAGAGTAAAACTGGACGAAGGTTTACTAATCTGAAAACATGTATCTACAAATCATCAAGATACCTTGGATTAATTATCTTCACCACAAATCGTACCAAACAACAAAGCAATATTTTTTCTTTTCCAAGGGTCCAGATATTGCTCTTTGTTTCCTAATTATATACAGACACTGGTTAAAAAAAGAATGGATGCAATACACTGGTAAACATGTTTCTTGAGACATGTTACAGCCATCAAACAAACTGATATAACTCAGTGTTAATAAATAAATATGAATGGGATTTGCAAATGATTGCCTTCTGTTTTTATTGACATTTTTTACTGCATCCCAAGTTTTTGAGAGTTTAATTTTCTAACAAAGCCTGTATCATGTATGACTAAGGTGTAGAATGAAATGAGTAAAAAAGGAGCTGTTATTTATATCTTGTGTTTAAAGACATTTTAAAGTATACAAATGCTTTTGTGTGCTTTACCAGTGAAATTTCCATTTGCAAGGTATATGGCTTTGATCGGTGGCACTTCTGGATGATCCTTCTCGTATGCCTTCAGCTCATATCTGTCAATCAAGCCTCTGATGTCATCAGTGGGTGACGCCCAGCTCACCTGGGCACTGAAGCCATTGATGCTTTGCACTTTGGTCGGAGGTGGAACAGATGTGGGTACTATAAAAAGTCAGAAGACAGGAAGTGAGAGGAGATGATTGCACATCTAAAGCCAAAGAATATATATGGTTAAATTAATTGAGACCCAGTAAAACGAATCATTAAAAAAGGAAGAACGGAAATCATATAACGTATGCAAAAGTCAACAGAGATATGTCAAATAAAAGCTGAACAGGAAAATATACATGAAAAAACCTAAACAACACATAAGCAGCATGTTAAAGAAAAAGCATTTCCCCAGTCTCTGCGTTTTAATAGGCCCAATAAATCATACCTCACCATTAGCATAAATAGTATTTATGAGAGTAGTAACTTTTTCAACACTGATTTAATACAGCTAGACATTCATTCTGAGCTATAATTCACAGCAATCAGCCTCCCTCCTTTTCTGTTACACTCCCCTTATTTCTTCACCTTATGATGTCACCCATTCATGGTGGTCAAGGCAAGTCTTTTCTTTCCACTTTTCTGTATAATTAAGTGTTTCACAATAAGATAAAGCTTTTTTCATCACAAGTCATTCTTTTTTTTTACACTTTGCTCAATCTAAAATGGTGCTGAGATTAGACCATGACAATTTGGCCGTCAATAGGAATACACAAAAAAAGTATTCACTTTACTGAATTTATTCAAAGTTATCTAAATTTTGTGAATTACTTGTATATGCTTAATATGTGTGTTATAATATAAGTGTTAATTGCTGGCTGTGTGCGTGGGTCTGTATCATAAAGCTTCAATATAAAGTCAGAATTTGGTTCCTGGTTTGATTCTCAACTGTCAGATTTTCACACAATATGTCATGCTTCTACACTCTTTTTTCTGTATCTCTGATGATTCTATCTACAGAAGGAAGAACAACCCAAAATGAATCTTAAAGAATAAAGAATCCTTAATTCTATCTTCAGCCTCACTTATGCTGCTGCTTGGCCTTGTGCAGCATTATTAGGTATAGTGAGTCCCTGTGGAGTCCTTGTTGCTTCCTGTGATCTTTTGTCCCCTGCTCATCATTTCATTACCATTTCCCACCTTTCCGCACCGATACCTTGTAACTCCTTGTTTTACCCTTTCTTTTTTGTTTTGTTTTTGTATCTTTTCTTTTTTCTTCAATAGCCACACATCTTTTATGGAACCCTCCCATCTGGATTGCCATCCTTTTCCTTTGATTCTTTTTTTTGACCCACTGCATGTTCTTCCACATCTCCCGTTCCTCCCCACTCTCCTCCTCTGCCTTTGTTTTTAGCGTCTGATCCGACTCTTTCATTTCTCTTGGTCTGGTCATAGCATGGTGTCCTGAGACCTACAAGTGTATCGTTCACCACTAACGAGCAGCTTTATATTACACAAGGGACCACACAGGCCATTCTGGGTTAACAGCCTTTTACTGTGGTGCCCTTTAAAGAGGCCTTATCAATCTCTCATAGCGTAAGGCACAAGTAATATCAATGACTTTGAGTAAGTCCAACATACTGTACGCGATAACAGTGTATATACCAATCAAAGATATCTTATGAACAGAAAAATGGCTAATTCTACATCACAAAATAAAACAAAGAGGAACACACACAGCATAATGCGTAAAGAGCATGCAAATACCATATACAAGATAGAATATTGTTGTGTCACAGCTGTGCAATTGTGGGTGCGCAAGAATCATATCTGGCAAAAAACATCGATATATATGAAGAAACACACAAACACTGACTACTACCAGGGGCCAGAAACACCGTACCTTGTCCACGGCTGCGTCCTCTCTTCCACGGTCCTGCTGCCCAACCTCCTGCAGCCAAGGCCACAACTCTGTACAAGTACTCTTAAAAGAGATGTGTATGGATTAGTTTGAATGTATGTTTTGAGATCCACATGAGACAGACATAACAGATTTGTTATAATCAGAGAAAATGAGAACAGACCCATCAAATGCTCCTAAAACTAATGTAAACTAATTTCAACGTGTACAAAATGAAGTGACTTGAATCTCTTATCTTGCAGTCATCTTTATGGCTTTGCCCACAAACATAGGGCTGTGACATGTTCTTTGGTCTGACAGCCTTTTTGTTAATATTCATCCCCGGTAAATATAATTACAAACTCTGTAGGGTGTCACAGACATCAAGGCTGCTTGCTTGACAGGGTCTTCTTAGTCACTATTACAATGAAACAACCGAAACCAAGCTTCATGTTTAATTCAGTAAGAGTATGCCTAGCATATACAATAGGCTTGTGATATACATTTTGAGGTATGTTAGTGTGGTATGTCTGAATGAGCACCTGAAAAAAAATAGAAAATCACACCCGGGCAAAGATTATTTCTGTATTAAAGTAACATTAAAAATATAAATGTTTGGGATGGAAGTCCACTTTTATGAAAACAAATGTTCACACGAGCCATTCACCTGTACAGCCATAACAATTATATTGAAATGAGGAGGCTTCAAAGATGCCTTCGAAAGTTCACGGAAGTGAATAAGAAGTACATAGATTTAAGGGTTTGCAAACTTATTCAGTTTTGCTTGAAGATGCAGTTGCAAAATGATCTATATATGAATAAACAATACAAACTTAAAACTGAGAACATTATAATATAGTAAGTCAATATAGTTAGTTTAACCTGTTGCAATGACATGCTCCTATTTGTATTTTGAATAAGATGTTATTCATAGTATTTTTTGATGGATACTGTTTCTGTTTGTGTCATCTATGTGTATCCTGAGCAAATTTACCCGTAAAAGGCAGGAGACTGTAGTCTGCGGCCTGCACCTTTTTCCCACTGTACACCAAGACTGAATCATTTCCTCTGCAGTTGAACCGACTCTTACTTGTAGGACAGCCATCTAAGTAGACTCTGACAGAGCGACGTGAGGCAAAGGAGATGTCAACAATTTGACTGGCTGAAGAGTTTTGTTCGTCACTGTGGATGGTAAGACCACGTATGCAACCTCCAAGGCCTGTGACAGGGAGAAGGGGAAGAGAAGTAAAGCCAGACTTTAATGCTCCTGCTTCACTTTGATCATCTTTTCAGAAAAGGTAAGCGACAGGGTGACAGCTTCAAACACGTCTTACAACATCTGCAGCCTCACTTTAAAAAACATAGACTAAAACCAAAGAGCCCAAAAAGACTGATAGGTTTACCAGATTGTGTTAAATACAGTGAGTGAATTCTAAACCAGCCACTGATGAAGAAGACACTGCTTTTAAAATTTGTTGTACCCATAAATATCTCACCGTGTTTGTGACTTTGGCTATCCAGAGCAGGATGTGAGAGCTCTGTTGGGACACCCCCCAGGTATAATGGGGAATCGACTCTCAAATTCAATGTCCCTCCCACTCCTTTTGTTTCCTCTGCCCAGTCGTTGACAGCAGCAGATATGGTTGAGCCACGTTTTGCCAATGACAGCTGCTTCCAGTCTCCATCACAGTAGCTAAGCCCCACCCACATGCTGAGTTCAGTCACATAACCATCACAGGCAAGAATGAAAGCGAGGAGGCCACCTTCTAGCTCCACCTAAAAATACATATCAATAAGCAAGATATGAGAAACAAATTGCCAAGTTTTACTTGACATGAAATTCAGGGTATAAACACGTTTCAAAAGTCTTTCTTCTCTTACAAGCATGTAGTCCTCAGTTTGAGTGTTATATGTAAAAAGCAAAAGAGCATTGAGTTGGTCGGTTCGGAAATCCATAGAAATGTCAAAGTCCTGTCCTCCACTGAAAACACCTGTGTGCAACTCCAAGTAACCTGTAGTAAGGAGATGATAAATGGGGTAACAGAATTTTTGCAAGCAGAACATATCCCAGATTAACAAGGGGTGAGTGAAATTTTTTGTCACAGTCTCAAAAAGTGTCAGACAAGACAGGTGTTTTCAAAAGGAAACATATTAACCTGACCCTTTATCCAGCAAAGCAAATGAATACATCACATTTATTTTTTATTTAAAATCAAATAACGGCAGAACTTACACCACCAACAGCAAATATCTTATTAGGAAAAACAGTGTTTCTAGTCAAGCTGCTGTTTACTGGTGTGAAGTTAGGTGATTTAATAAACATTCCTTGTGATCTTACCATGACCCAGAAAATGCACTCCATCAGCAGTCTGAAGAGGGCAACCCTCCCAGCTTTCATACACTGACACTTTCATTGTGGCTTTTGTCCAGTCCAGGAGCATCCATTCCTCTGAGGGGCTGTCAGTCACTTTTATTCTCACATCTCTGAGGCAGCCAGAAAAGCCCTGTCGAACCAGCCGTGCATCTCCTGGTGAAGCACACAAGTGCACAATTTTTTTGTACAAAGAATGTTCAACATTTCATTCGCCATTCATGGCTTGTTATTGTCAAAAGTTGGGAAGTCAGCTCATGAATTCAAAATTGGCTGAAAATGTACCTGAATCCTCTCTGAGAAGAGTAAAATCTTCAGGCAGCCCTCCGATGAACAGCCCCATGTTCTCACCAATAATGCTGCTGCCACTGGAAGCTGATGCACTTCCTGGTGATGGTCAATGTGGGATGTTCACAACAAAAAAAATGGGAAGAAGGTAGATTACAAAGGCATGAATTTGTAGTACTTAGGAGCTAAATTTGTAATACTTAGGAGCTAAAGAAAGATGGACAAACCAGTGGAAATGGCAAGACAATGTAAGACACAGGGATGAACAGAATCAGACGACAATACATGGCATTAACTTCAATACACTACATCTAAAATTCACGTATCATTCATGTTTTGGAAGTTTAAACAAGGCATTAACAAGAAAATAAATAACATTTAGGCATGAAACTCTGACTACAATGGGAAAAAATGGCTACATTTCCTGAATGTAATATTCACTTCAATTAAAGCTGAAAGCCACAATTCCAGTCATATCTTAATTACTTTATTTCAAATCCACTGTGGAGTTACTCAAAATGATAAAACTGTCACTTCCAAAGTATTCATGGCCCCAGCTGTTAGTGTCTTCCTCCATGTGTGAAGCAGTATTTTTCTCATCAGACACAGAGTGGCTGGGATTAACCTGGCTAATACCTCCATGAGGAACTGGGGGATTTGCATAAAGAGAAACACACAAACATGGACATTCCCGTCAGTCTCACACTATTCACATCCAGGGATGTGTACTCATCCTCGCATGAGAAGATGGGCATAATATACTTGTTTTTATACTCACACACCAAGAGGAGGAACAAACACACATATTGGCCTGTATAAATATGAGAAGAGTTACCGCTGTATTGATTGTTTACAACGATTGTTCCCACGGCCCCTCGTCTTGTTGCTGTGATGCTGTGCCATTGTCCATCATCGTAGCGCTGCCCTCCATCACCCTGCACACTTACAGCCACTGCTGAGCCCTGCACACACAAACAGGTCCAAAATACAGGCAAGACTTTAAACACAAACTGTCTGCAAACTGTGTAAAACACACCAACTGATTAATCTTTCACCAAAGTTTATGTAACCAAAAGTTACAAGCTAAGTTTCCATCTCCCTCAGCACATACACACACCCTCTAATTGACACACATGTATAATCAAAGTGTTGTTATAAGACTTTTTGCTTCTTATAAAGGATGATATCATTGTTATGATCAGCTTTTAGCAAGCAGGCAAAGAGTAATAAAGTAAAACGTGTATATACGTGCACACATACAGACACAAATACGGTGAGGAAGATCTAATGATGAGATCAATAACTGTATGAATGCCAGAGTATATCAGCCTCTGACATCTTTATTACCATTGCTAGACATGTACTTGGGGAGTAGATGTCAGATGAGTAGAAGACAGTGAGGAGGAGTCTATTTATCTCTTTTTTTCCCCCACCCACTTCTCCCACAAAAGCAAACACCTGCCTGGGGATTACAGGCAGGTAATTCAAAATTGGTCAACTGGTAGAAGACTGATGGAGGTTTTACCGGAAAAAGACAAGTTGAGGACAGTCTGGGCGGTCACTTTCGTTCTGTCTGGCAACATGCAGTGTGAGCTTAAGACATTATGTCTGTTTAGAGAAAATAGCTGGATGAAACACTAACCTCACTTTGGCAAAGAACCACTGATGAGCTGGTGTCATCCCCTGAGTGGTGCAGCACCCGACTGATGCCTGTGTTCACTATAGAATGTCCAAATGCCAATCTCTTAAATATACAGTGTATGATACTAGGTGCTGATGGAAACAGCACACACACACACATACACGCACACACACACAAAGGAAATAGCACTTATCCAAAGTGCTGCCCCTGTGGCTTTCCTTGCTGTACTTGGCAGAACCTGACTGAAGCATGAAGTCAGTATGTGTGTGGTTAGAATATGACGGAGGCATGCAGAATGAGTTAGAAATGTGATGTGCGGTGTGTCTGTGCGAAATTAGTTTCACAAAAGATGAGGCCAGTATGAGGGGTTTAGTCACTTTTAAATCAGATAACATTTGGTGAAGTGATGACCAAGAAAAATCAAACTTCCTTAGGACCTTTTGCTGATCTAAGGGCAATGCAATTTGAGGCTGTACCTATGATGGCTTTATCCATCTAGGACACACTTTTATTGGCAACACAGATGTTGTACATTTTGATAGTGATCTTAATACTGTCATAGCACAGCAAATCTTTCAGATGACCATAGATGCTTCTCTTGCTTATTTTCTCACTCTCACAAAAGGGTAACATAATTCTAACTTGTCTGATGTCCCCAGTTACTGCCTAGAGTTTTAGTGCTAAAAACTCATATGAAAAACCTTCTTCTAAAACCTCCAAACCAATCTCCCGTGCATTGTTTCAAACTGTATGTCATGTAAGTTCCGGTTATGTAGGGCATGTCTGTGTGTGGCAGCTTGCACATGGACATATTTATGAGAATATCACTTCCCTGTGTCATACCAAATAACACACACACACACACACACCACACATGCTGGTAATCCCATTAGGCTAGTTCAACAGGCTAATAGAGGGAAGTAATGGGCCCAGCTATATGTATCTAGGGGAACACTAATAAGCCGTGACACCACTCCCACCGTTAATTACCCCAAACTATCCTAAACAAAGGAGCCAACGCAGTTGGAGAAGACACACAGACCCTCCATCATACACCCAGCAGTACTTGGAACAACTGACATGCATTCACACATCATTATTGCCACTTAACAGCGATCAGTTTAATGACATACATTCGGCACGTGCAGATGTTTTGCATAGTCACAATCTGATGATCACTTTTTGCTACCACAGTATTCCATAATGATACTGACGGGGAAGAAACTTACATGTGTGTATGTGTGTGTTTGCTTGAGTGTGTAATTAGTTGGCGGCCTTATGGAAGTATGTGTAATCATTTCCCATCATCGCTTTCATTATCAAAGTTGTTGACTCTTTAACCTCTCTACATGTATCTGTATGGATGGATTAGGGAAGCAGGGCTCTGTATGTATGCAAGTACGTGAGTGTGTGTGTATGCAAGGGTGCAAAGCTTAATTAGCTTGCAATTGGTATTCACGCGTGGTGACTGCAGGGAATGAGTTAATTGCAGTCCAATTCAAACGTTGACACACTTTCAAAGTTTCTACTCGCTCCCCGTCTCCCTGACAGAAACCAATGAGGGGATACAGATCGCATTTACCAGATGAGAGAAAGTGAGGAAGAAAGGAGACGGGGTAGAAATAGCTATACAAGAAAGAAAGAGATTGTTTTGTTTTTTTAAAAGAGAAAAAATGGGTTAAGTTGATCAAGTATATGCTGTGAGCAATTTTGTCTTAATTGTTGTCTGCTTTCCTCATAATTTTTGCAGGAATGGCCAATCAGATGTTTGTTGAGAACTCCTGGGCCATTTGTGTCCTTACAACCAGACTACTCTTGCAAAAGTATCCTCATTTTTATCTCTGCATCATGGGCCAGATTATGATTGTCAGTTGAATTAAATAATAGTGTAGACAATGAGCAAAAAATAAATAAAACGCTAAATACAACAGTAACTAGTTCAGATAGAACAGAACCGCAGATGATGTAAGTATGAGCTCATGGTTGTATGCCTCCATTAAACTGTTGCCATTTCAAATATAATAAAATAATCTTTTCAATATGTTGCATTTACAAAAATTAGATGAAAGTAACATGTCGACATTTTACTCTACTATGTTCACAAAGCTGACTTATATATTATATTTATAAAAAGTAAATCAAATATTCTGACTTTGTTAAACGTTTGAAAAATGTAGAATTTAAAAGGAATTTCTTTAGCTGTTGCTGAGACAAAAATGATGAGATATGTCGATCGGCATTAAGAAATTATGAACCATAAAAATCCTCTTTAGTACTATGCCCTCTGTCTAATGACAGCTTGAATTATTCTGAGGACAACACAAATGAAAAGCAATATTCTCCCGTTTACATTTTCTTTGTTTCTTAAGGTTTCGACTTTCTTATAAGAAGTAGACAGATTAGCAAACCAGACTGTTTGCAGGCCTTGTCCTTAAATTATGTCTTTCAGGGAAAAAGCTTTTAAATTACTGACTGCTGACATAAACCATGTATTAAATATAAAAAATGTCCTTCTTTTCTTGAGCCATATCTTAATTCAACCTACATTAAACAAGTGGTTCAACCTAATTTCTTTGGTGAATGTAAAGTGGCCATAAATATCTATTTATCCAGTTATCCACAGTCCATTACCACTTCTCTTTCACCCACTGCACTTCATTTTCTCTTTTTAAGCATAAACTATAGTTTTAAATTCTTTGCATTGCTTCAATTCAATAAAAAATCGAAATCAAAATTGTGTTGTTTACCTGAGGATCAAACAAAAAGTATGGACGTCCATTTTTTATGTGAATAGCAAGAAACTCTTCCTGGTCACCTGGAGAAAAGGCACACAGCAGGAGGCCATCTCGGGAATGAGTCTTAAAACTCAGTTCAACACCTGAAACAAAGTAATATGAGGAAGAAGGGAGTGTGAAGAGAAAAAAACACAAAAAATTAAATTAAATCACTTTACATATTTTCGTTAAGGTAGTAATGTTAAACTCCCACATTATCAATATCAATTAACAATTCAATCAAATCAAGAAGTTAAACAACATTAGCATTTTAGGACACAAAACGTTTTACTTAAAGCGTAATGTATAAATGTATAAACAAGTAAGAAAATCTATAAAACAAAGAGAAAAAACATTTTATATTTTGGACAGTGTGCCCCGTAACGGACTACAACCAGTGCAGGTTATTCCCTGCCTGTCACCTACTGCCAGAGGGAACAGGCCCCAGCCACCTCACAGCCCTACTTGGAATGTGTGATATAGAAAATGGATGGCCAGTTCAATGTAAAAAACAATAAACTAGGTCAAACCTGGGAAACTAAAATCCCAATTAAATTTAAATAAAGTTAACGCTTAGAAACCACTTCAGGGTTTAATATACATTTTTTAAAAAGGTATTCAAGACACAACAACACTACACAGTTCTGCAGATGCAGAGTATTTTTGCTAAAAAGTAAAAAAGAAATGAACCTATGAATGATACATTTGTATGAATAACTCCATTTCCCAAATGGACTAAAGCTCTAAGCTGACTTAATTTCTGTGGTAAGCCAGCCGTCTAGGATAATCTTACCACTAAGATACTTCAGGGGAAAACACGCACACCAAAAACCTGGTCTTAGTAGACAGACCTGCTTCCTCGCTTTAAACAGCTTTCACATGTAATCTTTTTCTTTTATCTCTTAAAGCCAGAGCCTCCTTTTCTTAACTCGTAAAATTGAAAATGGATTTGAAAAAAAGAAAAACAGCGGGGTTTCCTTCCATTCGATGAAACTACAATAAATGTAACTGTTAAAAGACATTTGAATGATTGAAATGACAAGTTGTTTCTTTTGGAAGCTAATTTCCCAAATGGGCTGCTGATGGATCCAAAAGTGAGGAAGGCAAGGAGGAGGCTCATTCTTGATTTACTATTTCAAAAAATCAACTAGTCAGACATAGTAGCTATTATGAAATGTAATTTCCCTATAATGACAGAGGTGACAGAATAAAGGCCTAAACTACATGTGTGCGGCAGTCACTTTAGTCACTGACTTTTAAAGGGATTTTGTTGATTTTCTGAGGAATTTTAGGAGCCCCCCCCTAACACACACACACAAACACACACACACACACACACACACAAAAACAAAAAAACATAGGACATTTCTATAGCTTCAGAAATGTGGGAAACCTCCAGGTTTTATGAGCACCTCCCCACCATCACACATGAAAAAACAAAACAAAAAAAACTGCAAAGAATTCAGCTGGCGTGCTGTCCTGTCATGTTACTATGGATCAGAGATTGGATCTTAATCCACTACTAGATCCACATAATGACGCAGACAACGCAGGCTTGAGTGTGCGTCTGTGAGGATGTGTGTTTCAGCTCCAAATGTCTCCACAGAGAAAAAAAAAAGTGTGGGAAGATCTGAGGAGTTGAATGGAGGCAGTCCAGGGCTCAGCAGAAGACACAGTTTGCAAAATAATCAGTGTGAATGTGCTTAATATGGAAATCAAAGAGATATTTGGCAAGTTCAATATGCTTTTAGAGAGGTTACGCCAAAACACACACTTTTATCAATACTGTAATTTCATATTTTGAAAGGTCAACTGAAAGCTTTTCTACTTTTCGGACATTGCAGTAAACACTGGCAGCATTCCGGCACCTTCTCAGAGCTAAATGTGCATTTAAATCCTGTGGATTCCATACAGCCCAAACTAAACTCTTAGTTCCATGAAGTCCACATATTAACTAATTATCAAACATCCATCTAACCAAGCACTTTCTACGCATGTCGAGGTAAATTCTAGGTAGAAGAGATTATTAAACATATAGTCTAAACAATTTCCTGTATCCAGAATTATCCTGATGACAGAAAAAACATAAAGAAGGTGTCTTTATATTAGACTTGCATTCCATCCATCAACATGTGTCATTTATATTCCTGACCTTGTCACTACAGGGAAGAGTGAAGTCATGACAGGTTCCTGACATTACATTACCCTCTTGAACCTTCTTTTACTTTATCACATCTTCCTGATCTTTCAGTCCTTCCATTTTTTCTTCTCTATACTTTTAACCTTCTTCATCTTCTTTGTGACCTTTTCTGTACCTAATGCCTTTCATTGCTTCATTTCCATGCATTTGCTATTCTTGTTTACCTCTCTCACTTCCAGTTCAACGTTCCTCTCTCATTTTGATTGCTGCTAGCCTGATAAAAAATGACTTTATATAAGATCAATGTTTGACTTAAAGAGTGCAAATGTTGCCTACATTTATGACATACATCCAGTAAGTCCCCGAGAGGGAGAAGACCTCTGGGCTCATGATGCAGATTCACAAAAAAAATTACTTTGAAATAACACATAAACTCTGGCCCCACCCGCACAAATGTTTGTTTTCAGTATAAAATGACACAGATGTATTAAATTGATGGAGACATCATAAGGAATATGAAAAAAACATTATATGCTTTAAAAAATAATTGTGCTGCACATCGCTATAATACTAATCTATTTTTTTCAAAAAGGTTATGAAACTGTTAGCCTTTTAAAGTGGAATTCCAAGGAAGGAAAGGTCAGCCTCAAGTTACTGTAACTTTGTTCCAACCAGAAGTTAGAAAACACAAGTGAGGAACAGAGAGAAAGCTGAATTTGTATTGAAGGACACCAACATTGAATGGACACATGGAAGGAAACAACGTACCAAAGCCAGTATTTACATATACTACATTGTATGTTTAGAAAACGTGCCGGCCAAGGACCGCAGTGAACAGCATTTAGTGGCACTGCTCATGCTCAGCATTACTTCTTCAGATGATCCCTCAGGACTTGTGCTACTTCACACTGACAACCACTTTGGAGGCATCAACAAACAAACCTGAGCATGTACCATGACGGGCAACTCTGCCACCAATGTAGCACAATCAAACAACTGCACCAACAGACACATACACAAGTTTCACAACTGTGCAATCATGAAACACCAGGAACACCTTTTCACCTGTGAGCGTGCTAAAGGAATGCTTTCACACACGTTCACAATCTATCTCTTCCAGTCAGGAGCTTTATCTATTCATTAAACATTCATTTTAACCCTTTTTTTTCCAGAATCAAAACATTAGCGACACTTGTCAACACACCTAACTTGTTTTTTTTCTAAACTTTTTAGTTTTGTCAATTAGTGGTACAAAACAATATGACGACCATTTAACCTAAAGGAGGACTAAGTGGTTTACAAATCATACTTTTGTCTAAATCAAATGTGAAAGGTCATTTCACTATGGAAGTTACAGTTGCTACTGCGCATAGAAAACATAAGACTGGTGCCGTATCATATTCAATGAAACCATAACAGCTTGGAATATTAAGGCCATTTAAAGTTTAGTTTATTAGGTGGTATTGTTTCATGTTCATTGTTTCCCCTCTCTCTGTCTCAGTAAACAGCAGAGGTTGTGTGTAATCATCTACACAACATAACCTGAATAACTCCAGTCATGTTAGTTCTCTGCTGGCATTAATCAGAGCCTGGCGTATTAATGAGAGCGCGGCAGCTAGCTAATTACACCCATAGATTCTGCAGCAGCCCATTAAATATACAAATGACAGAATTAAAGAGCCCAGCCTCTTCTGATTAATCTTTAAATGGGGAAAAACTAATGATGTCTGTGCAAACTTTCCTTTCACACATTTCTCCCCCTCTCCTCTCAACGTCAATGCCTAGCAATCAATCATATTAATTAAGGAAAAATAATTTGTATCATTTAACATTTCCCTCACTCCTGTTCAGTTGCTTCAGTGAAATGTACTGTATTAGAGATGTCTGGAAATTATCCAAGAATATTTGTTCTTCCATTCAATCTTTTTTTTTTTCAGAAATATTTTTGCAACGTTTCATCTCTCTTCATTAAGTAAAGTCTGAAGAAATACATCTGGATTAGCAAAAGAACAAGCAGGACATCAGCCCCATTCCAATTAGCCCATTTCAGGTTCAAAGAGTGAAAAAATTCAAAGAGAGAGGACTTCTAAATCTGTTCGATCAATTTGCATTTAAATGCATGATTTTATATAGAACAAAATATGTCATTCTATACTGAGAAGCCCACAGTCATTAATTCAAGTATAAAAAGGAGAGCAGCAACTAAGAGGGTCTTGAGATACAGAAGAATTAGTGATAAGACGGATGAACTAGCATGCATTTATGGAAACCAGCACTTACAGGTTAGTCATATCACGGCACAATTACATACAGTTCTAATCTAATGTTTTATCATAAGTAAGATTCAGTTTGGCCAATATTGACCTCAAGAATCCTCATTAGTTATTAAGAAACATCTTTAAACACAAGTGAACAGACTTAATTTATGGAAACATGCACTCATATCACAGTAAATGCAGACAGAAATGAACCTATTTAGACAAAAATAATTCTAGTAAAGTGGCCATTAAATAACAGGTGAAAGGGCAAATATCATCCAATTTCAGATGGTAAAATCTTGACCTTAACTAAGATTTAGCATGCAGAATATTGACCCTGCTCAAGGATGCAACCTTAATTGGCATGCTTAGGAAATGAAGGAGCCTGCTGTAAGAACCTGAATGGAACAACAATGTTTTAATATTACTTGAATAAATATTGATGGAGGTTGATAGTTGATGGAGATAAATTATGATTTGTTAGAGAAATCACTGCTACTGGTAGACCTGCAGTTTTTCAAGGGGGTTCGCCAAGTCCAACGAAACAAAAATGGTTGAAAAAGAGACTTTGTTCACGTGAAAATGTTACAGTTGTACAATTGCCATTGCTGAAGTTACAAGGATTCCATAAGACATCAAGGATTGACGAGTCTCTCCTCTGTGATCAATTGACTCTCAAGGGGGCATTACACTGCATTACATTCATAATCCAATTTGCCTTTGATTTGTTCGCTGTTCCGTGCACTTCGATGGGAATAATTGTCTGTAGATGATGCTATTAGTATTGATGGTTGTAAAAGGCTGATGGTTTGAGGACTGCCGACACATTGATGGTCCAGAATAGATCCGGTCAGAAAGTGATTGTCTGATCCATTACCCTTTATGAGGAGGAGAGCGGAGGGTATAAGAAGCATCCTTCAAAAGCAAAAATCATAATCTATTTGACAGCAGTATTCAGAAAGATCTATTTACCTTTGTGCCTGATGGATGAGGACGAAATAAAAAATCATTTGTTGAATTTGGATAAAAGCGTAGTACTCAGAGAGTACTGAAGAAGGAAAGCAGACCGAGAAAGAGCCTCTTCAACAGAGATTCTCTGACAAAAAAATGGGTTTCACTGATGCTGTCACAGCTGTTGTGGCCTACTAGTCAAACATTTGGACACATCTGTTTAGTGTGTCTTATGGAAATAAAGATAAAAAGGACAAAGAGGAGATTAGAAATATCATATCTATTTAAAAAATATCAATATTGACAAACATGATTTGTGCTCAAGAATTGTATTTCTTGTTTATCCTTCCGACTGTATTTCAGCCACACTCACATGGTGATCCACATTATACTACTCGCACAACAGAAAACAACTATATTCGCAATCTAAATTTCTTTTGATACGTTTTTTGAGTTGACGGGTGTTGCGGTATATGAAAAAAGATGGGCTGGCGCAGTGCAAGATGAAGGACAGGCAAGTAAGCAATAAAGCTTATAAGCCCACATCAACTCACTTAACAAAGAAAGCAAACAGCAACAGGAGTGACTGCCAGGCTCTGTGGGAACAAGAGTTAACATGGCTGGCATAAGAAAATGAAAAAATGTGTAGCAAAGTCTCTGTGAGAACTAATATGACCAAATGGATCACTTTGCATATGTTGAACTTGATACTTAATGGTTTTATTCTTAATCAACAAGAATGTCACAATCAGACAATGTTTTAAAAAAAGAAAAAGAAAAAAGGCAGATATTCCTGTTGGAATTCTTTTTTCCCCCCAACATTTGACCACTCTTAGCTAATTAAAAAAAGGAGATGAAAAGATGAAACTATGACACCATTTTTTCACCGTTAACGCTTTTCCACAAATGCAAACATGCTTTTTCAGTTAATTTTTTTGCTTTGAACATTTTATCACAGAGTTGTTTGGAAAGGTTTTCTCCTCGTGTACACAGAAACATAACTGGGGTTTGTGCAGGACAGTGAAGAAATCTTAAGTGGCATCAAAGAGCTTTGCATGCTCAAATCCCACTGATTAGTATCAGCAGTCATTAATTATAAGCGTCAGACTGGGTGATGTTCTCAGATGAAGCAGAACATGTTTGGCTGTGCAGCTCAACCCTCTAATGATGCTGGTAAACAGAAAGATAATTGTCCTTTAAGATGACTGGGGAAGTCATGCTAAAAGAATGTCACAAGAAGAGTGAGTGACTCTACTGCAGTCACTCGACAACATAAAGAAGTGTGTAAGAATATGCTTGAATACTTGGGAGTACAACATTTCTAGAGACGCTGAATAGACTGTGACTCTACATTGTCTACAATCCTGACAAAACTTGAACTGAAAGATAATCAGATTTTTAAACAAGTCCTGCAAGTTATCAAAGAGAACTTGGGTGAACAAGTCAGACAAAGTATCACAGTAACTGTTTCAAAACTGCTTTAAAATAAGATATTTTATGTGTGGAATGAGGAAGAGAGAGGACAAATGCATACACAATGCACACATAAAAAGAAAAAAAAAGTATTTTTCTCCATACTCAAACAGTATTTTGGGTGAAGCTTTTTCTTCCTTTTTTTTTTTTTTAACCGCTACAGACTTGTCAACTATGCATTTATAGAGGTGATCACCTGTTATGCTTTTGTTCCATTTGTGATTACAGAACAAACAGAATTAGCTGATTACTATCAACAAATAGGACTATATTTCCTTTCTCTCTGTTCCTCTGATGAGTGTGTCAGTCCCGTCAGGGAAGCAGAAGGAGCTTCAGTGCGTCTTTTTTATGTTGCTTTTATCATTATGCCTATTTCGTTTTTTAAAAAGTACTTTGATATTCAGATGTCACATAGAAATTGTGTCTGCCTCCATCCACGGCTAGAAATTGGAGATTACAAGTTATATGAGCCGGAAAGGTAGGATTCAACAGAGGCCAGCTCTGTGGAAGTCTCTGCTCTAACCAGTGATTCTGATATCACTCATCTGTTTCCGTTAAACCAACATGAGAACATCTGCCTACACAGACACAACTGTCTATATTCAGTCCTTAGTACACTACAGGGCACAAAGGAGGCCCTGCATGTAGCTAGACATACCATCTTACCTGTAAAGTCAGTGTTGGTGGGAATAGTGTCACTGGGAAACTGGTAAAAGCCATTCCCTGAAAATCTGGTTCCTCTTACAACTGGTTCTTGTGGGTCAGAAAGGGATATGTCTGTTCTTTCCACCTGCAAAACATGTAATAGTAAAATTGATTTCAATTGAAATAATATAGAGTCTATTTCAGAAATAATATTTGAATATTGTTTTTCTGTGGTCAAATATCTATTTCAAACATTATGGGTGATTATTTACCATTATCATGGATAAATTCCATCTAATTTGGCAAGTGAGTACAGAGAGTAGTTTGTGATGGAAATGTATGGAGAAATCTACATAAAGTAAGCTTAGACATGGCTAAAATTAATCGTTTTAGTTTCTTTGGGTAGTTGTCACCTTTTGGATTTACCAAGAGGAGTGTGTCAGCCTTAACTCGCATGGTAGGTTTTCCAGGAGTTATCACACTGGATGCAAAGTACTTGCGAAGTACTGTTGCAATTCATTTGTATGAAAAGTGCATTATGAATAAAAATGGATTGATTTATTGATTGATATTGCGCCAATAAATATAACATCCACTTGCAAAAACACAGCATAGTTTGCTGTTCTAATGCTGATAAGAACATAAAAAATAGTTCAAAGTGCACTGAAAACAAATGTAGACTGTGTGAGTATTTTGCTATTAAATATTTTGATCAAAACATGCTTTCAAAATTAGAGATAAAATCATGTCACAGGTACAAGAGTTGACCAAGAGAAATACCAAGACGTACAGCTTAAATGGTAATAGTTAAGCAGGTATGATAACCCAGTTTTATAGCTTTGTTAAATTAGTAATAAGCTTTAACAACAATTCATGATGATGGGAATAGAATTATTTTTATAGCTAACAAAACTGGATTGTACCAGAGATGGTGCCAGATAATTGGTTTTAAAGCCACCACGGAAATGTTTGCATTAAATGCTTGTAGCTTGGTACCGGAAATGTCTACCTCAAGGTTGCACTAGAATAAAAGGAAAACAATTTCCGAACAGGTGTTTTTTAGAGAGTAATTAAAAAAAATAAAAACAGAGAAATAAAAGAGATAAATCTTAAAATTGCATGATTCTGAGAACCATTTAAGCTGAAAACAGTTTTTACCCCAACTCAATATAATATATTAGTAAAGATATTTTGAGTTAACCAGGGCAATGGAACGACCACCATCACCGTGGAGTAACAAGCTAAATAACATTTCCATACACTAGGAAAAATACACAAAAACATATACTAACTGGAATATACTAAATCTACCACAGGCCAATAGTCTGACCTGATATAGTGGTTTTGGTCCATTAAGTTGGGCTGGTGGGTCCCAGTCTATCAGAATAGTGGTTTCATTTTCAGTATGTAATCGAAGTAAAGACAGTCCTGTTGGAGCTGAAAATAGAAGAGTAAGACAGACGATGAAAAAAGGTAAGGATAAACTGAATAAATGTACACAAACATGAAAAATGATAAACACTAAAGATTTTTATGTTGTTCTCTGAAATGTTCTCTTTCTAAAACTAAACAAAGTGATGAGAACAAAATCCTCTATATTTGTGATGTTGAAGATCTTAAATGTATTAGTGTTAAGGCAATTTGATTTCTGGTAAAATAATTGACCACTGATTCATTTAATGTTGCATGTTTGGCACGTTTGCTCAGTGTTCATTTAATTAATTATACAAAGCCAGTAAACAAGAAACACAAAACAAAAATATCTAAACATATTTGATATGAGGTGTTACTTATAGTCTGAGACTTTAATAAGTTCAGCTCTATAATATTTAAGCTTTGAGTTGGTAAATGTATCTGAAAAGTCAACAAAAAGACCTTTTTGTAAGTTCCTACAAAATCTGTCAAGTTATAATCATGAAAGAATGTATTTCCTGTTTATATTTTTCAAAGTTTATTTGTTCTTATAGTATTGGTTTGGTGTGGTCAAAAATCACAATTTCATCTTACACAAAATAAATGGAATTTTCTTCTAGCTCTTAAAATAAATTTGGCCTTAAAGCATATAAGGTGCTACCCAAGCTCTAATTTCATCATATATCCAACATAAATCGACTCAAGACTGGCTGAAAATGGGAGAAGAGAATACTGCAGTGGGAAACGTATTAACTGATGGACTGATATAAGGATTGGAAAGATGTATGTATGTCCATTAAGTCTATGTGCTTTACGTGTCAATATGTCATATTTCTGCGCTTATTTAAGTAATTGTCTAAATGGTCAGAAGGAGTAAATTAGCTCACAGTGATACATGGGGACCATCTTTGATGTGAGTTATAATAGAACTCATATAGGAAATGCTCTTCTTAAATGCCTCATGTTGGCATATCATATTATAAATCATGGGATAACAAATCATGTGATGGTAGAGCTATTTAGTTCTATGACTGTAATTTTGAAAATAGGAAAAATAGGAAGTAGAGAATGAATTTGCACTTAGCTACAAAATGAGATTCGAGACAGGTTTGTAGTACAAACTGATCTGACAGAGTTCATAGGTTATCACAGGTTGAAACTCCCCCAACAGGCATGTTAAAAGACTTTTGTTAAATAAAGTGAAAGCAGTAAACAGAAATTCATTTTAATTTACCCTTTTTTATCAGTGCAAATGTCTATAAAATCATTACACCTAAGCAGCATAATGCATTCATATTGTTAAGCATCACTCTTTGTAAGCACTAGTGCTGAGCTTGTTGAGGGAAAAAGTATTTTTGGGGTTGACAAGTCTGTTAGAATAAAAACTGGCCTGTCAATCCCACTTCAAAAACAGGAAAGACCTACTGTTTATGGGTTCCTGATGGGTAATATGACATATACAGTACACAACAACTTCCCAAATTAAGGTTAAGTGTGATTGTAATATATTGTTGTGTATTTTTCACAAGTCTGGTGTTCATTTATTGTATCTGCCTGTTAATTCACTGAAATTGACTTAACACGACGACACGATGAAACCCATTTGCCTTATCGTGAGTTACACCAAACACGGACAAACACATACACACAGGCGCACGCAAGGTTAACAATCCACCAGAAAGGTTAATTTTTTCTGCCGACATGGTAATGAAGCAGCTAAATCATGGGCCAGTTCCCAGGAGCAAATGTACAAGTGTATGTGTGTGTGTTTCCTGTTTTTACAGCGACTGACATGTCTTAACAGGCTCTTAGCGTACAGTTACAACACGCTCATAAGTACGCCACTTATTGACATCGTGATCCCTTGCCATGCATATTTCTTTACTGAAGAAGGTGCTCTGACCAATTATGCATAAATCAATAAAGTTCCTGTTCGTCTGAGTGGTGTAACAGTGTATGTGTGAATGTCTCTCTGTGTATATCTTGTAGAACAAGCAGTTATGGATGTAGGATACATAAAACATCACCATCAGCCCCTGATCAGCCACTCACTTTACGTTGTGATCGATAGCTATGTGGGAAGACTAGCCGCTGAAACAACTGCAGTAACGTCAACACACATAGACAGGCACCTCCTTCCTTGTGTATCTCTGTGTGCATACTAATGTTAAGTCTTGTGCTTTCTGTAATTCCAGTAGTTTCACAGATGTTGCCTGCTCACTTACAGCAGATGGTAGCTCGCTCTAATAGCCTAGCCTTGTGTGAGGTACATTTATCAGTGCATCTGTGCCATGCTCAAGTACATCTTAGCAGACATATATCTTACTGTGAGGATCACTTCCTCCACAAGAGGTTGGTTCAGGAGTTCTGACATTGTTAAGGTCAGCAAAATCAGGCAGACTTTTTAACAAATAACTCAGGAACAATTTGAAACTGAAATGTTGTGGCGGTGATAAAGTACTGATGTGACAATTTACTGTTTGATGGTAAGTTAAAGCTTAAGAATTACATATAGATATAAATTATAACAGCATTCAACTATGTTCACTTCATCATGCAATATAGATAGGCTCCATAAGATTAAGCTTGCTGCTAAGTAACAAAATACCTTTCATATGAGAGCCTCTAAGGCTCTCACAGAAAGAGAAAGCTATGTGTTCACATTTGTGTCTCCCAGTTTCTCCTCATATGAGATTCTAAAGATCTTTGTTATACATATTCTGTGAATTAATAGGAATATGCTGAAACTGACTCAAACTTTCAGGGAAGCTGAAATATGAAAGGTAAAACCAGATGTGCTGTAACAGAAGCTCAACACCCAGTGGAGAAGTTAAACAAAAATAAATCTGCCAAACAGCATATGTCGTTATCATTTCTTACAGTTGAAACAAGGGACATCTTTGGCACTGGATGAAAGTAAATGGTAGCAACAGATGTGGCTGTTAAAAACACATTCAAAAAGTCAACTGGGTACAATAAGCCATATTGAACTGTACTGTATTACAGTCAAGAGAAGTCTTTGGAATCACTTGAAATAAACACTGTCACTGCGTCAACAGATGTAGCCATTAAAAACACATTGAGAATGTCGACCAATCATAATATGAAGTATCATCATAGCAATAAATAAAAAGCATGCCTTTCGGAAAATTGTAGAAAATTTAAATATTCACTTTGTCAACAGTTATAGTTGTTTAGAATTATTTCAAAAGCTAAAACCCCTGAGCAAGTATTTGTAGATGAAAGGTATTCGCAACTACTGAATGCACCTACTGTCTTTTTACCTGAAGAGATAAACAAACAAAAGCAAAGCAGGAAAGAACATAAAATGATCAGAAAGTAGACAGACCATAACAGATGGAAAAGTGTATTGTGGGGTCAGGTGTACATAAGAGTGTAAAATGAATATTTAAAAAAAAAAACAGACTGTAAAGAGCGAAAATGTCACATTGACTATTTTTGTGTGTGTCATCATTTTTGTTCCGATCAATTTGTTTTAAGTTCAGTCAAAAATGTTTTATGTGTGGTGTTAAACAAAGCAATTTCATCCTCATTCAGACAATTAAAAATCTACTGTGAAAAGTTATGGAGGCAAAGTAGGTTTTTGATTCATGGCCGCCAGGAAATGCATGCTATGCCACGTTTTTTGGTCGTAATTAACAGCAAACTGTTTGTCCCGTCATGCACCATGAGCATTCCCTCTGTTTACCATGACCAATGCTGTCAGCACTGGCTGTAATCCTCTATGCGTGGGCTCTAATGTGAGAGGGTTGTGTTATAGTTGTTTCACAGAGGGCTCCTGCTTGGAGCTTCAATTGGAGTCTTCCTCTATGGAAATTGCATGTTTTGTCCCTGCACTTGTGTGGATTTTCAATCAGTGAAGCATTTTCCTCTCATAGTCCAAAGAATTAATTTTGTTTAAATTCCAATTCAAAATGAGAACGTGTGAGCATGTGGGTGTTGGTGGCTGTCTGAAAATCTAAGCCCTGCAATGAACTGCCATTCCGTCCAAAGTGAGCTTGCCCAGTGTCAGTGGAGATATAGTCCTAACGCCCTTTGACCCCACAAATAGAAAAGTCAGCACATTGAAAGGATGAATGGTGTGTGAATGCTTTTCTTCTACCTGCTGGTAGGGTCCGTCCTGTGCTTGGTAGACTAGTAATGCAACCCATTTTTGTGCAGAGTGTGAGAGTGAAGTTGTACACATGGTAAGGCTTCAATCCTTTCACTATGTAAACAGTCTGAGATGATGGTACTGACAAATGTAAAACCTAAAAACAAGATAAGAGCAGAAAACAATTAGATAAGTGTGTCTTCTAAACATTTAAGGCAAGTGTGAAATACAAAGCCTTTCCTTTAAACCAGGCTTTGTTAGTTTATTTGTTTTGACCTTGTGTTACTGATTATTAACAATCAAATGTGTGTCGCGGCCCACCTGGCTAACAACTCGAGGAGCATATGGATTGGTGGTTTGCTCAGTGAGTAAATTGACTCGGTACTCTGTGACTTGTCCTCTGGCAATAAACCCTTGACCCTCAGTAGAGTTCCATGTCACTCTGAGACTGGTGGATGACAATGCAGACACATCTGGAGGAGCCATGAACTCCGGGGCTGGAAACATGGGTAAAAAAACGATAAAAAACATTTTTTCAATTAAATTGAAATGGATAAATAACATACTGATCAAATATTTACATTATTTCTAAATGTTAATTATTCACTGACAAAAAACATGATACCTAATATGAAGATACCTCACATGATAATGAAAAATTCTTAAAAAGATACAGTTAGAAACAGGTATAAATACTGAATTTGAAATCATATTAATATTTTTGCATTTTATAGTAGAGTAGAGAATCTTACTGAATGAAAGTTGTTACATTATTTACTTCAACTGACTTGTCCCAAATAAACACCTTACAACATATAACTTCAGAAAATTTTACATGCTCCATGGAAGAATCAATCTGGCTGAAAAATAAAAACCTTTTTAAATAACATCCATATGTCTGCTTTGAGGTTAAGCTTTTTTTCAGAAACGCAACATTTTCCATGGCAAGAGGTACACGTAAAACAAAAGATGAAAAACAACTCCATTCAGTCAATCATAACATTTGCCAATGCAATTCTTTAAATGAAAGTCAGTGAATAAAAAAAAAACTTTACAGTGGATTTATAATGAGTGTCAAATTTTTTAGAAAATCATAGAATTAAAATCTAGATTTTTTGAATATCAACAATTTCAGTGTCCCTTAATTGAACAGTTTTGAAAGCCACAATTACAGGACAGATTATGGAGAGGAATACTTTATTCCACTATTGATGGCATCTAACTGTGAAATATTGCTGTGAAATGTGATTTATGATAGACATAACTACTGTCATATTCTTGGCTTCTACACAGCACATCCAAGTGCAAAATCACTGGCACACATTCCACATCTAAAATGGTGTTATCATATGCTTGTTATCCAGACACACAGCTTAGAGTGATGTTGGAGGCAATCGTTTAGTCTTAATGAACCATATCATCTCTTTGAAATTCAAATACCTTAATGAGTTTCCCCTCCCCCATGTGCAGTTTTTATTTCCTTCCCCACATCCTTTCTGCAGAATCAATCAGACAATTTAATTTTTTTCCTCCTTTGCTCTACAGGGTTACTTCGGACTTGAGTGTCATTCTTTCAGACTTTTTTTTCTGTTGCTCTGTGAAATGACTGACCTCATTCAGCCGTAGATATACTTCCTGCTCAATCTGTTTTATTGCTGGGTTTTTCTATGTTAAGTGTACTTTTTTTTAATTCTAAAGCCAACAAACATGTGTGAGTCCTCAATGATTTACGTACAGAAGACGTTGAACCAATTATCCAATCATTTTCATGATAGTTTCCTGATTATATCTAAACCGTTTCTAAACTTTAGATTTGCGTGGAGCTTTGTATTTGATCAACCCTCAACACCACAGCATTAGCAACACATTTGCATTTGATCAAGGACCAATCTTGACCTTAACACTAACTTCTCACATAGCAAAAAAGGGCAACATTTATTTTTCTTCATCCATCCATCCATCCATCCATCCATCAATCCATCCATCCATCCATTGATTGTACATTTTCTTTACCAGTCCAGGAAAGAAGTAACCAGTAATGGCTATTTAAAAAAAAAGCTGGGAAATTTTCAAATTGTGCTTACATTTTCTCTTCAAATGCGAGCAACTTTAACATGAAAATAGCTTTTCAGACTCTAATACTATGAGGGTTTTCAAGGGATAAACAGAATCCATAACCAGTTAAATCATCAGCTTTTGAGATCCCACTTGTCAATGACAAATGTATTCTCAGTCTACTGAACATGAATAATTGAAGCCTTGCTAACCAAAAACTTAATTCCACTTCATTCACTGTACTGACCTTATCAAGCTTGCTTGGCTAGATCCAGGCCTTTGAATATAATCCCTTTATCAAGCAAGCTGATCAACACCCACCTAACATGAACTAATGAGAGCTGAATGAGCACAATACTAACAAATAGGGAATCAGCTTCATGGACAGGACCAACAGAGCCAACCATCGTTGCAGTATTTTAAATACAGGTTTGTTGTTTATCACTGTCATTGGTTATAGTAATTTGGGGCAAGAGATCACCTACCAATTAAATGTCTTTGTGGTTTGGCGGTTGGTTTTCCGGTCAACATGTCAAGGTGTCCGTGGACAAGACACACATAAACTCCAAGTAAACTCCACATTACCTACAGGTGCCTTCTCTGAAATCTTTGAAAGTTGCTTTGAATAAAAGCGTCTTCTGGATGTGTAAAAGTAAATGTAATTGACCCTTCATTCTATAAATTGAAGGCTTATCTCAGCCCATACAAACCTCCTTCCAAGGTACGGACTGTGGTCCACTGTGATGCAGCCCTTCCTGCGCTGCTAATGCTTGCAACTCTCAGCTGGTAAGTTGAATATGCCTGCAGACCCGTTACAATGGTGCTAGCCTCTGAAGGTGAGACTGTACTTCTGTTGGCTAGTTTTCCTTCAGTTGAGGCATTTGGCTCCAGCCAGCTGGTGCTGTTAAACACACTTCTCTCAAGAGCAAGATCTGAGAAGTTTTGTGATTCCACTGGCCCACGCATGAAGACCTCATACCTTGTAATAACACCTAGAGAAAAAAGAAAAGACTGTGGGTCATGTTCACAGAGTCAACGGATAATCGCCAATTAAAATGAAGAAAGAGGAAAAACAAGATTTAATGCAGTTGAGAGAAATAGAAGCGATGGAGATTGAGGGTAAGACTGGCTTATTGCTAAGGATAATTAAAAAAAAGAGTTCAGTGTGGCATTAAGGAAGACACTAGGGAAAATGATGATAGACGGAGGCAGAGAGAAGTTCATCTTACAGGGCTCTGTATAACAGTGAACCCTAGAGCCGTTACAAAGCTCCTCGGATTTACCAAAGGCACTTCCAGTTGAGTGTGTGCCTTAGTCTGTGTATTGTTGTGTGTACGTGTGTGATGCTTATACATCTTGAATGACATAAGCCCAGGGTCTTGCTACTAGGCATGGGTTATGTCAGTTCTTAAACAACTCTTCTTTGTTTTTTAGTGTGTTCTGCCCTATCATTCATTCTCAGACTGAAATATTCGTATTGTCACAAAATTGTAATATGTTAAAATACACTGCATCTATGTGTGTTTTTAGTTGTACCATTTGGCTGAATGGGAGGTTTCCAAGACACATGCAGTGAATGCGGTCCAGTAGCAGTGACTTTGGGAGGAGGCTGGTTTTGGGGGGGAGCAGCAGCTGTCACTAAAGAAAGTGGTGGTGTAGAAGTACATCCTCCAGAAGTACATGCCTGCAGATGAAGTCTCAATTAGATCATTAAATGTTTAATTTGTCACAAAAACCTCAAAAGAAAATGTTTGATATTTTCATTGGATAATACACTTGCCCAATATTTATACATATGTTTCTGAGACACTTTGTCACACTTACCTCCAGTATGGCTGCATACTTTGTGAAGGGCTTTAGTCTGCTTGCCACAGCTTCTGAAGATAAGCCTGTGTAATGAATGAAAGTTTCTCCTGTAGATGAATCCTTCAAGGATAATACAAACCTATGGAGACAAAAAAATACATGTCGTAGTTTTAACCTTTTACAAAGAAATATGTACATTTTATTCAGTTATTTCTGCACTTCAACTACATTACATACACTGGTTATTACAATGTTTTTATCAGAATCATTTTAAAACATTGATTACTGGTACATTATGTGATCACAGTCACAGTTTTTGTCATTTAATCTGAGGTCTAACTGTATTTTTGCTGACAATCCATTATCTCTGCAGTGCTGTCTAAATCCTTATTCACACTATTTCTTTCCATCAGCTCTTACCTCTCAACTGGGCCAGTATCATTTCTTGGTGTGGTCCAGTTAAAGCTTGCAGCAGCTGGACCAGGTCGTCCCAGAAGGTTTAAATGAAGCTCAGTGACTGCAGGGGGTGCACCTAAAGTTTGGTATGAGGCTGAGGAACTTATGGTCTCACCAGCTATATTAGTCGTTCTGAGCCAGTAAGAGTAGTTGGTGAAGGGAAACAAACCACTGTCCACAAAGGATTCAGCGCCTGGAAAAATTCAATAAATTAATTGGAGTACGACTTTAGAGCTTTAAAAACAGATATTGTTTATGCCATGTGTATCTACAATACTAGTATGGTCATAGCTATGATAATAAAATTAATCAGAAAAGTTGGACCAATACATACTATAAGGATAGTCACTTTGGAGGGTATGCACTGACTTTCCATCCCTAATGACAGTGTAATTGAGTCTGTGTGAGTTTGGAGAATCAGGTGGATGCCAAGAGAGATGAATGGAGGAGTAACTGAGAGCTAAACCTGCCGGTACAGGCTGCTGTGAGGGTGCTGCACAGACAAGTCGAGAAAATGGAAAGAGAGAGCAAAATTAACAGTTAGAGAACACAGTTTGGGTAAAACATGTCATGTTGCACACCCGATCAAAGTGAAGATTATTTTCTGCTCAGCCAGTGTTTGTATATGTTGAGTAAAAGATAAAACACACCTTTGCTGCAGCCAAAGGGGTTTCCTGCATCAAAATGACTTGCTCCAGGCTGACATGAATCACACTTGTCTCCAGTTACAAGAAGCTTACAGGCACATACCCCTGTGTCTGGATGGCAAGAACTATTGATGCTACCCACTGGGTCACATGCACAAAGCTGGCATCTGTTCATCAAACAAAAATAAATAAAAAAGATAGTGAGGATTTAACTGCTCATTTTGTGGGCTTTGGTGGGCTCACAAAAAAGTATTCTGTCATTCTTAGAGGAAAACAAATTCTGTTTTGCCTGGGATTCTCTTTTTTGTGCCAAAGACAGTCATAGTAGTTGAAGCTGTAACCCCTGGTTATCTACAGATAAAAAGTGTGAGGGCACGTTCAAGTCCATCTCTCTGTTTTAGCCCTGGGATAGATGAACAACCTGCCCAAGCTGCTCTCCCTTTCCAGCTAATTTCTGCTGAGGTAAAATCCAGCTCATAGTAATCAGCAGAATAAAGTGGGTATAATGAATGGGAAGATGGTTAAAATGCTGTAAATGCTATACATTGGACGTGAGGGTAAAAAAAAAAAAAGAAAATTCATTATCACATGGGTCTGGATGTTAAAATATTCAGAAGTAACTTTCAACTAAGGGGTGTGCAAGAGAGGTGTTGGGTCCTTTCCCTGACACTGTGAGGGAGACCCTCACCACCAACTATCCATCCTCTAGCTGTGAAACTCACTTCACAGAGACCACAGAGTTACCAAAGCCTGTGTGTGACAAAACCTGCGTCTGGGTCACTGGTGTGGCGTTACTCTCAAAGGGTGATCATCCGGCCAGCCACCTCACGCCTGTACACACACACACACACACACCCACACACACCCACACACATACACACACACACACACACAGTGCGGTCTGCACATTGGAAGATGTTTGGCACACACTCAGATACACACCAGATTGGTAGTGAGATGGTATAACCCATGTCAGTGTCAGCCACACACAGACATTACCCATGTGTGTTTTTCATTCTACTGCACACTGTACTCACGTTTTGTGTTTCTCTCACCCACCACTACACCTTCTTTATTGCTGTGTGAAAAGCCACAGCCTCATAACGAGCTGCAAATTTGTCCTGTCAACTGGTGCTCACACAAACACATGCACACACAAATACTCATACAAAGAATGCCGCAGTGACTCGACCTTCACTCCTGTTCTCAAGGAGAAAGAAAACACCAACATCACACCCAGTGTTTCCCCTTTCATGAGCCTAAAAGTGCTGTGTGTGTAAAGAATAACAAAAAAGTATTTAAAAAAGAGTATAGTAGTTGGACCATAGTTATATTCTAACAGTTACATCTAAAATAGTCTACTGACAGCCAATATCAAAACAAACATATATGAAGCATATAATTAATGTTTTACCAAATAGAACTAACTAATATAAGTTTGATTGCTAAGCATATTGGGTCATGTTTATGACAAGTGAAACCATATTAAATGTCAACATTAAGTTTGATCTGGAATTTAAGAGACTGACTGTATGGCAAAAACATTCATATAGCCTCTTTCATGTTAATGACCAGTGTCACGTCAACTTTATGAGGGCTGAGGAACTCATCCAGAGGAAAGGTGTTAGGGAATAGGAAACTATATAAGCGAATGACTGCATGTGCCAGAGTTTCATCTCTCCAGACTGAATTATTATCATATAACACAGTATTTATTGAGACACAGTCCTACATGCTCTGCCAACTGCTTACACAATCTGTTTCTTGATTCATTTGCAATAAAGCCAATTGATTGAAAAGCAAAGGACAAAATCACTGATCATATCTGGATGAGAAAAAACAACTTACAACAGAGTTGTGCACCAGAAAATAAATCACCATTTATGTTCTAAAAAAAATCAGTTCCATTTTTACTATTTACCAAGAAAGAAAACAACAACAAAATAAGCTGAATAGGGAAGAAAAAGAAAAGGGGTAAACTAAAAAGTTGAAGTTGTCTTCATACATACTTCTTCACATATGTCCCAGAGCATCTATTTTTCAGTGTTACAATGTACTAATATAAAACATCCCTATCCATATTTTAAAAAAATATTTTAATTGATGCTCTCTTCTCTTTCAAATGCTTCCATTTACTTTATGGACAGAGGTCAAAAGCACTTCTTAACTTAGGTAAATTATTCATCTGCTCACCAAGCTGTGAACTCTCTTTACATGAAGTGTTCCTCCAGCTCTGTGTACTCACATGCACAGCTATATGTGTGATTTAATCTGTTTACATTGCTGGCACACTTTATCAATGAAAGCTGTATGGTTTCCACCTGTCTTTAATAAATTTACTAATTACTTACCTGCCTAAACCAGGGTTGAACCCAAAGAAATTTTCATGACACTGGTCACAACGTCTCCCACCCACTGAGGGATGGGCGCACACACACAGTCCATTCTGGCTCTCACAGTCCCGCTGCAGCGCTCCCATTGGATGGCAGTCACATTTCAAACACATCCTGTGATCTGGAGAGAGGTAGAAACCTGCACAGAAAAAAATAATCAGTTAACTAAAATGACAGTTCTTTGATAAGTCTATGTGCATATCTGTCCATTTCACATGTTTTTCATCTGTGCTTAGATACAGTCCTTCCCTCAGTTTCTTCTCTCATCATGTTTTAAGACTACCTGTTGCAAGTGTAAATCACTTCCATTTATTTTTCACAAGGCGTGCCAGCTTATAAACGAAGTAGATATTTAATTTAGCTTCTTTTATAGGTAATATTTAATTGCTGTGGACCATGTCATAAGGTGAAAATAGGCACCTTGTAAGAATGAATCTCGGCAAATATAACAGATTTCCATGTGGTGATATTAGAAGATCATTGGAACTTGATCAATGAAGAATAGCAGTAATAACGCTAATTGTTCTGGTAGAGGGGCAATCAAAGTAAAAAATGACTTAGCTGAAACAACGCCTGTCAAATTGCTATCACTTCGATATGTGGTAATAGGACAAAATGACTTTACAGAAAACATTTTCCTGATACTTTCAGAAGACACAATTACTGTTTCTAGGTAAAGATCTTGTGGCCCAACATCTTTTAAAATGTCTAATCTCAACTTGTCTTACATTAAAACACTATGATCCTGAACCTTCTCTGTCCTTGACACACCATGTGTTAGCTCCAACAAGACTAATCACAAACACCTACACACAAAGTGAGATGAGTGAGAAAAAACAATGTTTCCCAAATGTGGTGGTGGTGTTGTGACTTGCCATAAACAGAAAAAAGGCTGAGTAGCACTTTGGCAAAAGGAACATCACAACACACACAACAAAAACTTAAAAAGTCTGGAGAAGCATAACTTATTCCTCTACTATTTAACCCAGAAGGTTTCACATTTTTTGGCAGTGTGACCTTTGTGTGAGGATTTGTGCACTTCCACATGCACATTTGTATGGTAACTCATCTATCATTTTTCCTGTTGTCCATGTGACTCACCAGGACGACAGCTACTGCAGTCTTTTCCATAGCGTGTTGGGACACAAACACACCGGCCTGTGGTACTGTCACAGACTGACCCTGGGACTGTGCCCCTGGGGTCGCAGGTACATGGAACACAGCCCTGAAATGAACCACCTGACAAGGTAAAAAAAGAAAAAGAAACACAGCTTTTTGGGGCTGCTCACTTTTGATGCACTAAATCCAGAGTTTTACAATCATTAAAAAAAATGTAATGTAAGCATAACATAGTAAGTGTCATGGATGTTGGATATCTTTTGGCCTCTGTGCTGTGTTGTCTTACTGTCAAGATTTGTACTCCGATTATAGTAGTTATGGACACAGTTGGTACATTGTGTGCCCTCCACCCCTTCCTTGCATGGGCATTGTCCAGTCCACATGTCACATACACCCTCAGGCACAGTTCCACTCATGTCACACACACATGGTAGGCAACCTAGGGAGTTTCGATGCTCCAGGGTATGGTAACCATGACGGCAAGAGTCACAGCGAAGGCCCTCCACATTTTTCTAATAAAGAAATAAAGGAGGAAGGTAAGCAAAAATAAGTCAGCACAGTTGACTTAGCTGGTGAATTACATCCATCTGCAATGTTATTTCTACAAAGTGCTTGATCTTAGTGAGATTAAGGTACTTGACATGACTTACGAGAAAACACAGAATAAAGTTCTGATAAACAATCCTAATCGATTCTTTTTTTTAGATTCAACAGTAAATGCATACATGCCTTGCACACACACTGTCCTGTAAATGGATCACAGTCTGTCCCAGGTACTGTCCCATCATGTGAGCAGTTGCAGGGTGCACAGGATCCCTCAAGCCTTAAGCCAAACAAGCCTGTGCCGCATGAATCACATCGCTGACCACCCACCCCAGGCTTACAGTGGCACTGGCCCCCTTCAGGTTCACAAAATGGACTGAGGGAACCCAAGGGATCACAGTCACATGGTATGCAGCCTTCTGGGTTGGAAAGGTTCCAATAACCAAACTCACAATGGTCACATGAAAGACCTAGAAAAACAAAAAATGAAAAGATGAAGAAAAAGATTTTTGGATAAATGTGAAATATGAAAATATGACAGTTATCTTCTGAGGGCAGAAGAAAGACAAATGAATAATAAAAAAAATGAACAGATGCTTTCTTGTTCCCAAACCAGTGTTTAGTCTCTCTCTGAGTGCACACCAACGTGGGTGAGTGTGCATTTGATTGGGAGAAAGCAAGAGAAATGGTGGGAGAGTGAATAAAACTGCCATCATTAGGGCCAAGCCCTCTATATTTGATGGATCACTTACCTAAGGCCAAACACTTAATTTTACTGAGCAAAATAAATAAATAAATAAATAATGTGGCTCACAGAAAAAAGGAGGGAGAAAAGAGGAGAGATAAAGAAGTAATACTGAATCATAATGGAGGAAAAATCTTGAAGTGTCATGTTATGCAAAAAACAACCTTATATCTACTGCCAATTGGCCTTAAATGGTGGGGGTTGCACTTAATTTAAAATCAATCAATTGTAACAAAAGATTAACCAAAAGTCACTTTCTTTTGAACATATCAGGCCCTCAATTGAGTGTTATCCAGCTTCATGATATATGAATCTGAAACCAATTTAGAGTCCTGCTTACTGGTCTTTACATTTATTTCTGAAGTTTTAATTGACATTTCATTTGCAAATCATTGTGTCTTTTTTCCTAAAAGGCTTTGTTCTGTGTGAAAATCTCTACAATAATAATAAACAGTAACAAATACGTGGAACTGGAGGTTTTAAATTGCTGCCTCGATGCTATACTCTAAAGCAAGTTAAACTATGATATTCACTATGTATGTGTGTGTGTGTCTGTGCAGAGCTTATTTGAATATGCCATACGTATTCCATGACAGGCAATCTGTCCCTAAATGGATGCCTGGGGGCAATGCAGTCACCACAGTCGTTTATGAGAGAGCACATGTTCATATGTGTGTGGCTTTAAATGTGCGTGTGCACACCTAGATTAATAGACATACACCTTTACATCTGCAAGTGCACATGTGTGTGTATCCTTTCTGTGCAGTAGACACTTGGCATTTCCCCTGACCGGCCCTCTTTAATGATTTTACAGATATGAATATATTTCTATCCACAGATCATATTTCATAATGGCATGTTGAAGATATATCTGTGTATGCAGAAGCGGAAATGTACATCTGAGTGTAAGAGTGGTAAATATGCAATATGACGGGCTGATACTTAGGAAAATAAATATCCTTTGATATATAACACTATGTTCAAAACTACTATTAAAACTTCTGTTGCACAAACAGAGGGAGATAGAGAAGAGAGTTGCAAATTAAGCTGTTTTAGTATTTTTTAACTTTTGAGATATGTTCATATAAAACATCAATCACAAGGGTTGAAATAAGAGAAGAAACTACAAAGAGCTAAAAGTAAAAGGTCAAATAAAAGGAGATATTAAGAGATATTACATCAGAACAGAAATGTATTCTGTGTTAAGATGTCCACAAGGCCACTTGTGCATGTGCATACGCGTGTGTGTGTGTGTGTGTGTGTGTGTGTGTGTGTGTGTGTG